GTTCAGTAAACAGTTACCTCAACTGTTGATGCTCGATCTCACCTGTTGTTCACCCAAATACTCAGTTATATGAAGAATTGGGCGACAGGTGATGCCTTACAACACACATTGCAGATGATATTCCTAATGGTGGCCTGCAAGTGTATTACTGATGCATTGGATCCTAAATCGAGTAGAGTTCGTTGAAGTTAATTGTGACGTTATTGTGACTGCGAACCATCTGAACGGCGGTGATGCAGATATTTCGATTCCAAATAGTGCTTCATATCACGAGAGTTAACTGTATTAAATATTACTCGCTTTTACAGACCACGACCCATGCGTTTCCCTGGCAACGGCGCCAAAATCCTTTGATCGGTGTTATCGTCTTCTATCCAGTTCCCAATGATCCTTCGGATGTAATAGTCACTTCCCAACTCTAAAGATCTCCTCAAACTACCATTTTGTCAGTCTTCTACACACTACAAACGCAAATACAATTGGGACTTATCAAAAAAATGTTAACTTCTTGTTTCCCAAAGCTTAAGCGAAAGCTTCAAAATTCATTCAAAGTCTTTTCTTCCAGTCGATCAAAATATCTCCCAGATATCCCTGCCACCGCTTCTGAATCCGAACGCACGCGGCGATCAGCTGCCCCATCCCCAGAGGTGTCCCCAACAAACATAAAAAACCATGAAAAAGAAACAACAGACACCTCGATTGATTTGCAATCCATCACCACAGAGCGTCACAAAACAGAGTCAAGCTCAACTCATCATCTGACTCAGATCCCGCGAGGAGAGTAGCAGGCTTGGACGGGTGGGTTATGAACAAGCAAAAGCCTTCGGGTGGCCACTTCCGTGGGAAACATGTTACAGTTGCCAGAGAACGTCAATCAACTTTCTTTATCGGAGAACGCCGTGCTTATCACTGGAGGCATGTAACGGATAAAGCTCAACTGAAGGCGTTTCTCGTCTTGAGAAGATCCGGACGACGGATTTTCACGGCTCCGGCCAACCTAAGCACCGCTCGATTTGCCTCTTCGGGCAGTCTTTCCTTGCTTTTGAGAAGGCCTCATTGGGGAACTCGGCCATGTCAACGCTGTAGGGCATGCTGCTTGGCCACGCATGTACCAATAGAGGCGAATCATGAGTTTCCGATTGACCCATGACATCTTTGGCTTGATCCAGGCGAGCATCTAACAAACACAAAATTCGGTTGGCCCACACCTTTCTTCAAGAGCTATGGCGTCTGCACTCAAAACAAAAAAATTGCTTTGCAGCCAAAGATAATCTCTGCGCTAAAGGATATGCGAAAGAAGACTTCTGGGAGAGCTGAAAGCGCAATACTCCATGTATCCGGGATTCAATCGGCACGGTGTTTTGACAGTGATTCCCGTCATTTGCAACCCATATGCACCGCTCACAGTGCAAGGGATCGCCCAATACTTGGCCCAATACCCGTTGGAGATGAGTAGGGTTCCAGGCCATGATGAGGAATAGCTGCAAACGCCTCGGGGTGATTGTGAGATCTGGGGTGTAGTCTTCCGGTTGGAGAGTTCTACCCACGAGTGGTATCTGTGATCAAGTAGGAAGAGTGCAATATATAGATGCTTGAGAAAGCACGTAGTGGGACTTTGCATCTCGCTGGGCCCTTACATGCCTGAGCATGAAGTTTGGGCTTATTTGGGGACCGAAATTTCTCGTCTCATTCCTGGAAAGACGGTGTTAATTCCTGGGAGCTCTAGTCGCATTGTTCAAGATTAGCATACGCGATGCGTGGAGAAATGATACGCGGGACATGCGTCTGGGCTCCCTTGAACGCGAGGAAGCCGCTTCTTGCTCCCTTGTGCTACGTCATGTATCCAGAGTCAACTATAGTTCTTCTTTCTATTCATTAATCATCTGGAAGAAGCTGCCCCCCTCGATGTATATGTGAGACCTCACATCTGGACCTTAAGTCTCTGGGAACACCCAAATGCTTCCTAGGAGTGCGTCAATGGCCCCCAGGAGACTAAATCAAATGGGTACGACCTTCGCACCTAGAGCCTTGAGTTTAAAGCAAATCATAACCTAACACCCACTTCGAACGGTCTAAAGGCAACTCGTAATCTTGCCGACTACGTTGCCTACAGCGGGAGCCAGCGATTCCCCCAACGCATGGTCGTAATGTACAGCCACGTTTGCAATTGATGTAAGCAACAGTGATCTGGAATACGACATTCCTTCTTGCAGGCCACTTATCCGCTGTATAGCGGTGCATACTGCATGAGAATGCATTCTGCGACGTATTGACTGTTTCAAGGGAGAACTTCCATGTCAGCTGCCTATGTCGGTATATCCTCCCACGGCGATGGCATATAAAGCTGTCGTTGGAACGCTGCAGAGATTGCTCAGTACCAACACCCATCCGAATCATTTTCTGCCTTTGCTCCTGATACAATGTCTACTATACTGTCTTGGAATCCATTTTTTATCTGCGGGATCCCCCACCGCGGTCCTGGCTCCTGTTGCGGGACGACGAAGAAAGGCGAGCCGTGCAAAAACTCGATCAAAGTTGAAGACACCAAGATAGGCCATCAAAAGTTGACCACTCTTGCCAGAGAGCCGTTTGATCTGTCAAATTTGCAATCGAAGCTCTGTGATGTTGCCAAAGAATTCCTCTGTGTGAGATGGCATCGTCAACGACAGGCCGACCAACTGGGCCAGCAGTGGTATGAGGCAGCCGTCCGCAATCAGGCACGAATACCACAGGACTCTTGGATTGCCTCCCCGTCAGTTGCTACTCATACAAGTCAGAATCATATATCGTCAACCTCCAGGCGACGCCTCACGGAATCAGGCAACACTGACCGGTCGGCACCTCCTCGGGGGATCAGACAAGACTCGCTGGTTCCCCCGTCAGATAGCTCCGAGCCAGTGCAGTCAATCAATTCCTTTGTCACTGCTGCAATGCTGCGAACGAATAATGTTCCGTGGCAAGTGTCGCCGGCTCGACCAGCTATTTTGTTGTCGGCCACTAATCTCCTGGCTGGTTTCCAAAACTTGACGCTCCAGAGTCTCAGTACGAGTGAGGAGGTCAACGACATCCACTGTGTGTTTTGCCTGGCCGAGGATGGAGACCATGCAAACGAGTGCGTGATCTTGCGTTGTGGTCAGTGCCGAGCGCTTTCTCACCTAGCCTGTGCGGAAGAATGGTTGGAAAGGCGCCGTGTGGGATTCGGCACGACATGCTGTGTCTGGTAAGTATAGATCATCTCAATTCTGCAACGATCAGGATGCTGATGGTTACAGTCGAAACGAAGGAACTCTAGACGCCTTGATTCGCCCACTCCAAGTCCTATCATCGGATGCCGAGACACATTCTGTCCAAACGGCAAATGATCCATCTCCTGATGGACAACTCGACACCGTCAGGATTTCATCACCAAACGATCCTAGTCAGAGTCAGCCATGTCAGCGGTCAGTGGGAACCCCAGGGGTATCAGTCGAGCATAGTAGCCGCC